CTGACAACACCAAGTCAAGGGTTAAGATCCCCTTACTGGTCATCTTTTAAAAAAAAAGAAAAAGAAAAACACTATAAAAGATAAAATCAGCGCTGTGAACTCATAACCTAGCACACTTGAAGCCTTGCTGACGGCACCCTGTCTGGGAAAGGTAGGTTGGGAAGGTTGTGACAGTCCCCTGCTTTCTGCCAGAGTTGGGCCTCGTGGGCCCCCGGCCACCCCGTGCCTCATCCAGTCATGTTCAGCCAGTGTCGCTGTGTTTGAGCTTCATACAGATAGAAAACAGAACCCACGCTGCGTGTGTTCTACTGCGGTTGTGTTTGGTTTATCTATTCTAATAGTGACGGACACTTGGGCTGCCTCCGGTTTTGGCCATCACAGACATCACTCCATGTCTCTGGTGACTCAGCCCCTACTTCAGCGGGGACTTGGGGTGCATTTTGGAAGACAGCTCTGTGCTTGCTGAGTTGGGGTGCAGGCAAGGGAATGGGGATGCCCGGGCTCATGGCTGTACAATGGGGTGGGGTCTGACTCTGTCCACCTGCCGGGGGTTCTGCCGGATCCCTGCTGTGGGGTGCCAGGCACCTGCATGAGAAGCAGATGGGAGCCAGCTGGGCAGGGCAAGGAAGGGTCAGCATTTCCCAGGGGCCCGAGGCCTGTCCTGGGAGGGAGGCAGAACCAGCTGGACGCCACTGCCAGACATTCCCATCTTCAGGCGTGGCTTTCCCACTCAAGGAAGGCACGTGCGTGTTTGCAAGTGTGTGCTGTACCCCCAACCAGTGCAGCCACGCTGCTTCAGGGAACTGATCACGGAGGTGGCTCAGCCGGGCCTTCCTGCCTGCAGGTCAAGTGCAGGGATCAGAGGCCTGCAGACTGCTTTCATGCTTCCTGAGGACCCTTTTTAATTGGCAGCTTTGCTCTGCCTGCTGGTGGGGAAGAAGGCTCCCCCTGCAGTCTTGTTTGGTGTATTAATGATGTGCCTGCCTTCCCCATGAGGGGCTCAGCACTCAGCAGTCATGGGGACCCAGACACTGATGCCCCCTCCCTGATCCTGTGCCACCCGGAGGCAGCCTCCATCCTGACCTCGGAAAATCCACTTGCCTGTCTGCACGGTTGCTGTGCATGCTGGTGACATGCTGTGACATGTCTGGTTTTGACCTTTATGAAAGCATATTTTGGGTACTCCTTTGTTGGTGCTTTTCCCCTCAGCACTGCACTGGGATGTTGGGGTGATACTCACGCGTAGTCGTCGGGTGTAGTGGAGAGCTTTGTTTCTTCGCTGTTCCTTATTGTGTGTGACTATGGCAACGTGGAGTTCCCCTTTCTCCTGTCAATGGAGATGTGAGCTTTTGTTTTTTGTTATTACAATCTCCACCCACTTTTTAAATCCTCCTAGCACCACTGTTTGAAATATAAAATTCCTGGCTCATAAATTGCTTGATCCTTTGGGGGCCCAGTGGCCCTGCAGCCAGTTGTCCCTGTGCCTCCCTGGGGTAGGAGGAAGAGCCGCATGGGCACTGTGCTCTGAGGGGCTGTGTCCACCAATTTACTCCTCTTGCCCAGGTGGGTTTTCCTCTCTGATGCTTCTGGCTCTTCTGAGGCTGCATCCCCCCGCCACCCCGTCACTGTTCGAACAGCCCCGCCTGGCAGACAGCCGTGTTCCGCCAACCCCACCACCCATCCATGAAGAACAGATTTGGCTTCTATAGAAAGCTCCAGAGTATGGAATTGGGACAAATGAGTGAAGGATTAAGTTGGTGTTCCCCTGACATGAGGCACTTTGTGTTCTTTGAATCCCCTGGGGGAACTTTTAGCCCGAGTTGGTACCTCTCGCTGCCCCCCACGGGCCTCTCCGAACACCTGCCAGAGTGGCCCTGCCCCAACATGGTGGTGGTACCTCCTCTCTGCAGGTGCAGCCCGGAAGGCCAGGCGGTGGGTGGGCCCGTCCCCACAGCTGCGGTGGGTGGCTGCTGCACACCCGCGTGGGCCTCTTCTGACTTGGACAGTCTGTGGGTCACCAGCTGCTGAGGCACGAGGTGATACCTTTTCCTTTTCTGTCCCCAGATCACCAGAAGCTGGAGAGAGAGGCTCGGATCTGCCGCCTTCTGAAACACTCCAACATTGGTGAGCAGCCCCCAGGAGGACAGGGGCTCGGGGGGTCCCTACTCTTTCTCCAGGACAGCGCTCTTTCCCTTTTTGAGATCAGACTTTCAGAGAGATGCCAAAGGCCTTCCTTCTCTTTGAAATATCCCACCTGAAGCCCCTGAGGACACCTTGTTTCCTCTTCTGACCTTGAGGACCCCATCCTGTCTGATGTGATTCCTGGGGACAGGCAGAGTGGGGACCTCCCTGACATGTGGGGAGGAGGGGACGGCCCCACTCGGGGTCAGAGGCAGGGCTCCTGGGTGCCCAGCTCTGCTGATTGGACAGATCCCTTCTCTTTCCTTGCGTCTTCATCCAGGCCATTGGGTGACAATGGCTGCTGAGGAAGGGAACTGACACATTCCTCAAGAGCCCTCAATGGGACTGGCACCCAGCGTGTGGCTCCCATAACTTGGGGCTGAGATTCTGGCAAAAACACACAGGGGCCTAAACATTCTGTGGCTTCAGAAAAGCCACAGGATAGCCCGATTACAAAGGAACAGTTTGGAAAGCAGAGGCCACTCAAAGACCTCACCACCTTCAGCCCATGGCCTCAGAGCCTCTGCACGTCCCCTTCTGCTAGCCCAGGGCTCCTGGAACCATGGTTTGGGGAGAGTGACCATTAGCCCAGCGTCAGGTGCCCCATGGGGGCAGTTGGAGCCTGGAGCCCAGGGGCCAGTAGGCCATCTGAGCCTTGCTGGCTGGGCACATGGGGAAGGTCTCCAAGGTGGCCTGGTCTGGCCTCATCTCCAAGAGGAGGTGGGCTTTTGGCACAGAGCCTCCTGTTGTCTCTGGCAGCCCCACCCATCTGCACCTGGGGTAGACAGGAGCCAAGGCTTTGACAGGGTCCTGGCCCGTCTGCCCACATGAAGCATGGCTGGCTGGGACTCTAGGTCTGGGCTCCCCAGCCCCAGTCCCATGTTGGAGTAGTAAATGCAGTTCTAGGAGTCACAAGGACCCCAGGCCGTGCAGACCCTGGAAGTCAGCTCAGGCCTCCGCAGGATCCCTCGGCTATCCTGCCTATGCCTCACCCTCTGTGGCTCCAGCGCAGTCCCTGCTACGGCCCCCTAGATCAAACGTGCACACGTGCATGCATGTGTGCTGGTGTGTCCAGCTGCCTGTCCTCCCCTGACACTGGCCCCTCTGGGGACTTCTGAGGAGACCAGGAGCAGCCATCGCCTCGGGGTGGCAGCCACTTTCTGGGACAGAGGGCAGGGAGGGGCGAGGCGGGGAGAGGAAAGGGTCCGGGTCTGCCTTGGCCACGTGGGGAAGGTTGCTGGGACCACAGGAGCTCCAGGAGGGCTCCATCCGGCTCCCAGAGCTGGTTCTAGGAGTCCCTGCTGCTGCTTCTCTGTAGTCCTCGGTGGTGCTGGGGACCCTCAGCTGCCCCCTGGCCCAGGAGCTGGAGGGAAAGGGCAAGTCCCCCATATCCTGGGCAGCCCCTCTAGCCCCCGGCCTTTTAATCACAGACTCAATCTCAATCAATCAGTGTCCCTTAGGACAAGCCTGGCCCCACCTCCAGAAAGCCTGACTCAAGAGGCCAGGGCGGAGTTGGGGGGTGGGGACGGCAGGACTCTGGATCTCGATGAGGTGTCCACAGGGGCCTCAGGCCCACTCTGCACTGGCTGTAGAAGATGTTCCAGCAAACAGTGGGGTCCCCATTGGCACCACTGTGCCAAGAGCCTCAGTCAGACCTCACCACCAGGCCATTGACCCTTTGCCCACCCAGGTTCAGCCTCCAGGTCCTGGTCTACTTTACATTGTGTGACCCTCTTTCTGAGGCTCCTGAAAGATGCCACCTCCCCATCCAACTCTTCCTAAACCCCTTCCCTCGTCCTTCCCTGTCCCACCCCTCTGGGTCCATCTCTCTCTTCCTCTCTACCCCCAACTCTCCCCTGCACCAATGAAGGGATGGGCCACCCCTTCTGAGTGGATTTGCAGGGATCTCCTTATTTAGTGGAGAAGACCCAGGTGTTGTTTGGGTTGATGTTATCCAGGTAGTTCTTCAACAAGATGTCTCTCTGCTCTGCCTGGATCCCCAGTGTGGTTCTGGGTTGGTTCCAAGCAATCCCTCTGGAGTGGTCGCTGACGTTCCTTGCAGTGGCCAGTGAGGTTGGGTCCCCAGAGCAGCACGTTGCAGAACACAGAGCAGGCAGATCTGAGGCTGTGGGGTTCTCTGTAGTCTCGGGGGACTCTCTAGAAGTGAGTAGTCAGTGAGAATTGTAGGCGAGATGAGGGGAGCCCCTTGCTCTGTGAGCCAGTCCCCAGCCTCCCCCCGAGTCCACCCAGCCCCACCTCTGGACAGAAGGCTGCTCACAGGCTGCCCTGGGAGAGGAAGCAGTTGTATGTCAGGCCCAGGGAGGAAGGAGCCTACCTCAGTTTCCTCCTCTGTAGAATGGAGATGCTCTTGCTCCCCTCACAGGGAGGAAGAGCCAGAATGATCCACGTGGAGAGCCAGGCGTGAACTGTGAAGTCCCCTCTTTTCTTAGTGACATGCTTGGAGTGCAGAGGACACAGACCTGGGCTGGGGCTGATGAGCTGCCCTGAGACACAGGCCCCCCGTTTGTGGGGTGGGAATGCGGATACCCCTCTTCACCGGGTGGTTTCACGAGTGCAGCTGCCATCCATGCTGCAGAACAGGTCACCCCCTGTTAGACCAGTAAGCGTGGACTGCCTCCCAGTTTCAGCCACAGCTGCCCCACCCTTTGTGGGACCCAGTGCAAAATGAAAGTGTGGGGTCTTTTGCTGAGAAATTATTAAGAATTTCAAGACAGCACCAGTAGAGCTGGGCCCTCTTGGCCAGGGCCCAGGGCGGCTGCGCGGACAGACGTCGTGGGCCCCGCTCACAGCTTCAGGCAGTGTGGACACTGGCCAGGCCTGCGTCTTCGAAAGGCTTGGCCGGAGCTGCAGGATTTGCTTCCAAGGGGCTCCTCACGTGGCTTTCGGCAGGGGCCTCAGTTCCTCTCCATGAGGCCATCTCCACAGGGCCACTTGAGTATCTTCATAACATCGCAGCAGGCTCCCCCAGAGCAAGTGATGACAGAGAAGAAGAGACAGAGACAGGCACAGAGAGGAGGAGAGAGACAGACACACACACACGGAGAGATAGAGAGAGATAGAAACAGAGCAGGAGAGACACAGAGACAGGCAGAGAGTGAGAAAGAGGGAGAGACACACACAGAGGCAGAGATAGAAACAGAAAGAGAGATAGAGAGAGAGAGAGAGGAATAGAGAGAGAACGAGGAACACATGCCTTTTTAAAAAGTGATGGTAAAATACACATAACGTAGTAATATTAATTTTAACCATTTGCCAGTGTTCAGTTGGGTGTCATTAAATACATTCACAGTGCCTGTCACCGCTATCTATACCCAAAATGTTTTCATCATCCCCAAACTGAAACTCTGCCCGTTAGTCATTAACCCCCTGCCCTCTGCCCCCGTCCCCCAGCCCCTGGCACCCACCATTCTGCTTTCTGTCTCTGTCAGTGTGCCTGCTCACAGAGCATTTGTCATTTTGTGAGTGGCTTATTTCACTGAGCATAACGTCCTCAAGGTCCATCCATGTTGTAGCGTGTGTCGGAATTTCCTTCCTCTTCAAAGCTGAATAATCATCAGTTCTGCATCCAGAGCACACTTTGCTTATCCACTCGTTCCTCGATGGGTTTTCTGCACCTCGTGACCATTGTGAATGTGCTGCCGTGGATGTGGCTGTGGCTGTACGCACGTCCACCGTCCCTGCTTTCTGTCCTTTGGGTACATGCCCAGCTGTGAACTTGCTGGACACACAGAAACTGTTTTACCTTTTGAGGACCTGCGGTGCCTTTTTATGACCTAGGCTAGGAGGGATCACTTCTGCCTTACTCTGTTTACCTGAAGCCCACACACGAGGCAAAGAATCAAGCTCCCTCTTAGAGGAGGAGCATTGGAAGGGGTTTGGATGCGTTTTGCAGCCACCATGATGAGCATGGAGGTCGTGGGCCCATTGGCGTCCCTGGCCTGAGCTGACATGTTGTGAAGGATGCCCGAGCCTGGCGCCGAGCACCAGCTGCAGACCCACTGCCCGCAGCCACTGGCCCCAGGCTCTCTGGCTTGCACTGGGTATTTGAGGCAGGGCCTGGCCAAGAGCTTCCTTCTGGGAGTTCAGTGTCTCCTCAGAGAGAGCAGGAGAACTGGGGGGACGAAGCCATCCAGCCCTGTCCAGGCTGTCACCCTGGTCTTCACACCCTACATGTCTTGTGCCAGCAGACAGCCCCCCAGGAAGAAGACCCCAGCAATGAGCCCAGGGGCGTGGGCGATGCATGGCCCCAGGTGTCAGGGGACTGCCATTGGGGTCATCTGGAAGGAGAAGGTGTAATAAACAAGCCCCCAGATGATCAGGGCTCCTTGAACCCCGTGGATGCAGGGCCCCCAGGTCAGAGCCCAGCCACAGTGCCCATGTGGGTTTGGTGAAGGGGGTCGTCAGCCCCAGAGCCCCTGTGGACCCAGCTTCTAGGGTGAGTATGGGGCTGGCTCCCTGCAGCAGGCAATGGTGCTGGTGACAATGGTGTTGACGTCTGTGGAGTGCTTATCCCTGAGCACAGGTTGTTTGTGCCCTGTCTAGGTGTCCAGGACGGGCTGTGCCCTGCTACACCCAACTGTTCCCCGATAGCCTCACGTCAGCACCATCCCTGGGGAAGTTCAGGGAGTCCCTGTTCAGCACATATTTATTGACACCTGCCCCTCGCCAGATGAGGTCCTGGGAGGGGAGACATGGCCATGAGCCGCTGTCCTCATTTCACTAGTGCCATAGGAGAGTGGGTCCCAAGCCTCCCTGGATGCCCCCAGGGCCCTGGGTTGACAGAGATGAGGCAGAGCCACGGTGGCAGAGCCTCATGGAAGAGTCACAGTGCCCTCAGCCCTGCTCGGGGCCCTCAGCCACTCCCCTGACCTGTCCTCCCCTGGGCCTGGCTCAGAAAGTTGGAGAATCCTTACCACCTGGTTTGGGCTGGAACCGTCCTCCCTGGCTGGTGCTCCACTGATGAACTGGGCACACCGAGGCCGGGCAGGCTGAGGACAGGGAGAAGGCAAATGGTTCACAGCGCTGTTGTCAGGCAGCTCTGCTCACAGGCTACCAGAGTGGCACTGCATGGCCCAGGGTCAGTGCCTCTGCAAGCCGTGGGCCTCACGGGTGTCCAGAGAAAGGGTCTGAGAGGCTGTTTGGGAAGGGCAGAAAGACTCCCCAAAGCCCCCTTGTCCTTGAACCCAGCCAGGCTCCAGCGCAGGAAGCAGCAGCCCAACTCGGGCCTAGGGCCAGGCTGCAGCCCTGGCCTTTGAACCCCTGCCCAACAGGGGAGCAGCCTGGAGGAGGGGTGGCCCCAGCAGAAGGGAGCCTAAAGCAGAGGAAGAAGAGGGAAGAGGCCACGTCCCTGAGCAGGTCATCCCTGTGAGCTTGTCCCGTGCAGCTGGTTAGCCCTTGACTCTTAAGTTACTACATAGGACTTTATTTATTTACCACCTCTGTATGCTGCCCATGATGTTATTTGCATACTGTTTTTATTTAAATAGATTTTGTCACAATTTACTTTTTTACTTAGCCCTGTCTGTGATTTCACAGGTCTGATGTGCTAGTTAGGTTTTCTTCTAAACCATTAAAATAAGTGCGTAACTGTTTTTTAAATGTTAAAACTGTGTGCACATGCACACCGCCTTGACTTGCCCCACAACCCCCAGGGGCTCCCTGTGGCCCGAGGGACCTGCTTCTGGGCCAGGAGCCGCTTGCTTGCGCCGGGAGGGGGTGGTGAGGCCTATGGGCAAGGGCAGCCCCCACCATGAGCATGGTCCTGTGGCACCCCGGGGAGCAGCAAGGTGGTTTCATGGAGGATTGGAGCCTGCCCTGGAGCCACTGCCCACGGGGGCTCTACAGGGTGAGCTCCATGGCCCCTAGGGCTTCTTTGCTGCCAGTGGGTGATGTTCCTACAGCGTGTCCCAGATGGAGGCAGCTGGGGTGGGTGGGGCAGCTCAGAGGGGCCAACCTGCTGGGCCCCCAACTGGACTTATTCAGTGGCCCTCACTAGAAAGGAATCTGGAGGGGTGGGCTTCTGTTTAACTGTAGTGATTTTGCAGGGGGGTCCTAGGAAGGGGTTGCCAGTGAGTCCCAGGGACCCGCCAGGTCTTAGGGAGATGCAGGCCAGCCTGGTGATGTGGGGATCTAGGCAGAAGCGGGGAGTCCAGGGGTCACCTGTGCTCTTGGGACAAAAGTCAGTGGGGAGGGGTGTGTGGGAAGTGGGGGTGTTGGTCACAGGCATGAGCCTTGGCCAGTGAGGGCTCTGCTTGGCTGAGGTCAGTGTTGGCTCCAGGACTACCCTAGTGGGCAAGAGTTGCCCTCTGCCCAGAGAGCTCGCAGAGGACCGGCCGTGGGAGACCTCACACTTTGAGGGTGGGGCCAGGTGAGGCAGAGGGGGGAAGGTGGGCTGCTGGGCCTGAGCAGAGATGTGGATCAGGGAGTGGGAGGATGGGGCTGCGCAGATGTGGCACAGCTGGCTGGCTGCCCCTGGGCCCTGTCTCTCTGCTCTGGGCTTGGAAAAGCAGCCCAGGCCCCCCAGGCGGGCCTCCGCCATGCTGCTAAGCTCAGTCACCTGGGATTCCTCACGCTCGGATGATGATGGTGACATCGGCAGTAACAGGGCTGTGGTTTGCTGAGCTTCTCGCAGGTTCCGTAATTAGCCTCCACAATGATCCCATGAGCGGGAGCTATTTGATCCCATTTTGCAGAGGAGCAGGCTGAGGCTTGGATGGGCTGAGTGACCTGCCCGGGGTCACACAGCTGGGGCAAGTGGTAGAGGAGGAGCTGGCCCCAAGTGTTCTGGCTGTGTGAAGGGGCTGGGTAGCCTGCCCTCCGGTGCGGGGCATTTTGCCTGAGGCATAGGTGCTGAGAAGGGCATTGGTCTGGGGCCACTGGAGCCAGGGATCAGCGGGGTGGGACTCAGACCCCAGGGCGAGATTAGAGTTCCAGGTCTGCAAGGACGCAATCGGCTGGGCCCTGGAGGACCAGAGCCCGGGGAGGGCTGGCATTGGCAGCCAGCGAGAAACTAGGACAGCGCTGGAGGGCACGGGGAAGGGGCTGGAGCTGAGTTGGCTGTTTGTGTCTGAGGCCCGAGGGGCCTGCGGGACTTGGGAAGAGGTGGCTGCACTTCTCCCTTTCAGTGCCCGGGGCCCCATCTCCAGTAGTGGGGGAGAGCCAGACCTCGGAGGTCCCTCTGCCCAGGACCTGAGGAGCTGGGGGGTGGCCAAGCAGCAGTGCTAGTGCAGTGCGGGCCCTGGAGCTGGACAGACCCAAGTCCACAGCCCTGTTCTGCCTTCTGTGAGCTGTGTGACCTTCAGCTGGTTACTTAACCTCTCTGTGCTTCAGCTTCCTCACCTGTAACCTCTAGGGGTGGTTGGAAAGATCAACTAAATTAATATATGCAAAGTGCCTGGAACAGCCTTGGCACACAGAGTGCTCAGCGTGTGCTGGCTGTCATCGTTGTCATCCCAGCAAAGGGCAGAATTGGCACGTGGGAGACAGTATCCAGAATGAGAAAACGTTTGCTGCCTAGTGCAGGCGCGTTTCAGCTCAAGGAGAGGCAGGCGTGGGGTGCTCGCTTGGTGCCACGTCACCTGGCTGTGCCCTCGCTCCTTCCCCCACCCATTCATTCGTTGCATCCCCACTGGCTCTTGCCCCAAGCCAGGTGGGGTGTAGGGTGGGGGGTGAGAAGCAGCAGGCCCTCTTGGGAAGCCATGGAAACAGTGGTCCTGAGGGAGACAGTGACCACGCTCCATCCAGCTGACCCCATCGGTTCTGTAGTCGGAACTCAGGGGCCAAGCCCTTGGGTGATGCCACATTGGTTGGGTCTCCCTCTGGGTGGGGGGCCCTGGCAGAAAAGTGGAGCTGAGGACTGAGGTCAGCTTCTCTCTCCTGAGAAGCTTCTCTAGGGCTCCTGTCTGGGGCTTGGTTCTGTGAGCTCCTCCTGCTGCCCTCCCTGGTGTTAGGAGCCACTGAGGCCCCAGGTGGGGCCCACCAGGCCTGGTCTCCCTCTGGCAGGAGGAAATAGGAGGCCAGACAGGTGGCTGGGGGGAGGGAAGGGTAGGGCGTTGCCTAGAGGCCCAGTGGATGCTGGCCTGGTGTCCAAAGCTCTCCACTAGGCCCTGCCCTCCCGCCTGCCCACCAGCGCCCTTCCCAGCCCCATCCTGTGGTGGCCCCAGGGCTCTTGGCAGGGGGTCCCTCCCTGAGGGCTTGCACGGCTGCCCTGTGTGCCTGGACAGGTGTGGAGGCAGGCAGTGGGCTGTGTCCTGAGCTACTGCCCGCCCCTCATGGCTTCTCTGTCCCCACAGTGCGTCTCCATGACAGCATCTCCGAGGAGGGCTTCCACTACCTGGTCTTCGATCTGTAAGTGCCGGCACAGCGGACTCTCACCCTCACCCACTTCCAGCATCCGGCAGGTGGGGGCCGCAGCCTCCCTCGCCCAAGGAGCAGTCCCAACCCGGGTCCAGCCCCTCCCTCAAGTGTACCTGGGCTGCAGGTCCCTGCGCTGCCAGCCACCCTCGCCTCTCCTCCTTTACTTTGCTCCTTGTTCAAGTCCTGTGGGGAGAGAGCTGACTGCCTGGGCCCACCCCTCTACACGCTGGGCACACCAGAGGCCGGGCTCAGGGAGAGGAGGGAGGACCCGGAGGAGCAGTTAACAGCTTCATTCATCCTGTGTCCCTCGGTGCCCTCATCCCAGCTGGACTGGGGCACCGCCGGCTGGCGTGTGTGTGAAAGCACAAGTGCATGCGTGTGTGGGGGTGGGTGTGCATGAGTGTGTTTGCACGCATGTGCATGTGTGCATGTGCAGTAGCTGAGCGAGAAGGCGTCTGGGGCCACTGCCACCTCTCGCTTCCTGCCGGATTTAGAAGCGGTGATGTCATCTCCTTACTCTTGACAGCTCCTGCTAAGCAGCACTATATTTAGCTGTCTGTGTCAGTGCTGCTCCAGGACCCTGGGCTGGGCAGGGGCTAGGCCTTAGCCTGCCCCTGGGGCCTCCAGACAGCTGCACAGCCAGAGACGCCTGGTGGCAGTGCCATTGCCACAGTTACCTGGATGCCCCCCTCCTCCCATGACTGCCCACGGGACAGGACACCTGCATGGAGGCTGCCCTCTCAGCCCTTCCTCCCCCAAATGACAGATGCCCAGTCTGTGGGGCATGCAGGCCTGAGGAGGCCTCTGCCACGTGGGGTCCTCTAGTCAAGAGAGGCTGACACTGTCCCTGCAGGGACTTGGCCACCTCTCGGGTACCCCTGTGTGTCCCACAGGATACCACCTCAAATCGCCAGCCAGGGACTGACCTGGGACACAGTGGCCGCTGCCCA